CTTTCAGCGACAGTGTGATTTTGGAATTTCTGACACCCTCACCCATAGCTCATGACCGACCTTCAGAGAGCTCCTGCAGAAAGGATATTCCTCAACTGTTCCCATCAAAGTCTGAAACAGAAGATAAGGCTGTTTACAATTCTTCTGATTTATGTGGACTTTGAAGACCCAATTTACCAAACTAGACAGCCTATTCAATAAAATTCTATTCTATCACTGTCTCACTCCCAGTTAATACTCAATCCATCCCCACATTCTGGCACTGAGCACCAGTGACCTAACTGTCAAGTTCAACCTTCTCTTTTCAGTCCTCATCTTACTTATGTTTTTCTTTGGGCAATTGACACCACAACTATTCCTTTCTTCTCCAAAGGCTTTGCTCCCTTTCCTCATAACTGTTCTGTCACATTTCCCTTACACGTGCCGTTACTTACATGCCTACTTTGTGAATTCCTCCATTTCTGGCACCTTTAATGTTGATAAAACCCAAGTCCTTTCTTTCATCTTTGTTCTTACTGGGTAATGTCACCAATTCAAGTGTTTCAACCTTGCCTTTCGTTCATACGATTCCCCTATCTCCACACCAGCCAGTCCATACCCCTGAGCAACACAGCCTGATACCTAACTACCTACAGGTCAACCCCTTAAAGTCACCTCTCCAGAACCAAGTGCCTGATCTTCCTCACATCCCTCTTCATGGAGGTCTGAGGCACTACCTTTTAATCACTTCAGAACCTTTCATTCCCTCACTTGCCATATCCACTAACTGTCAAGTCTGCCTTCCAACTTCACACGTGTTTTCCACCTTCATTACTCCTCCTTGACTGAGGTCTGGCGCCCTCTACCTGGATTACTGGACTTGCTCTAGCAGGTCTCACCCTTTCTATCTCCCACTCCTCCAATGTGGCCTCCATATTGTTGCCAAACCAACGCATATTTTATTACTCCTGACTTTCAAATTCTTCTATTGCTCCCCATCACCTACCAAATGAAGACCAGCTTCTTAGCACAACATAAGGACCCCTCTGATCAAGCTCCTGCTGCCTGCCTCTCAGACTCATCCATCACTCCTTAAGCTCTTCCCATTATAACCTAATGCTGTTTTGTGTTTCTCCCTTTTTCAATCTGTGTGCTACCCCAGAAATATCTGTCCCCCAAATTAGCCCACACTCGCCTCTGACCCTTGTCTGCTTGGCAAATTCCTACTCATCTTTTAAATCTCACTCACCTCCTCTACAGGGCCTTTTCAAGATATGACTTCCCCTTTCCTCTCTCACGGCACCAAGTCAGCTCATTGCAGCTGTTTGTTTACAAATCTGTGTCACCCTTACCCAGTGAAATGCTCTTTATTAGATTTGTGATTTCACTGATTTGTAACTTGTACAATCATCTGACACTATGCCTGGCACATAGTATAAGCTCAATAAATGTTTGTGGAATAAAAGCCATTGGAAAAAAAGTCATCATCCAATCAAGATTCAGAGAGACCACTACAATTGTATTATGTAGGATTTTAGAGCAGTGAACTAAGAATCAAGCTATTTTGTGATTTAATTTGACTAATTTAAATAATGCATACATAATCCACTTAATTCTGTTCTTTTCACTCTCATGCACTCTTCTAATACCTTGCTTTATCTCTGAATCATCTGTTGGCCTTTATCTTTTTTTACCTCTGGCAACCCCATTAAGTCCTATTTGCAATGAGTCAAAAATTCCATTGCATTCAATTCTTGGATAAGCTTATCCTCTGAACCTCTGAAGATGCACTGCAGACCCTTCCTGAAATATCAGGGTCTAGATCTACTAATCTAGCAATAACTCGCACATTTATATAAGGATCTACCCTCCTCCCCCTGAACCCCTTCCCCCCCCCCCCCCCCCCCCCCCCCCCCCCCCCCCCCCCCCCGTTAACCTATATTAATCTCATCCTCACAATAAAGATAGGCAGGACAGTTTTTATTACTATCATTTTATAACTGAAAGACAGATGTCAAAAAACCCAGAGGTTTGTTATCCTTTAAAGGTTTCCCCATACCAAAGCCTGAGGAATATTAGTTCTGTAGTTTGTGATATCCAGTCCTCATATTTTTTTTCTTTAAACACCATTTACCAGAGTCACATGCTGTTGCTGTCCTTCATCTGCCGGCACACTGACTTTACTTTTATTTCTGTCTCCCCAGCTCTGGCCTATTTGTGCTTAGGCTTCCAACCCACTGGTTTGATCACCAGCTGAGCATTCCAAAGCAATCATTTTTCTCCCCTTTCAGCTCTAAAATCCAAGACTCTGACAAAGGAAACTGTATCTTATGAGTTTCACCCTGGAGTCCAATCCTCTGCAAAAATCTATGGGAAAGTTTACCAAGAACCCAGTTGTCTTGCTAAAGGGCCTTTTTTCTGAACTCAGGCAATCATAACTAGATTACTCCCAGGCCAATTTTCTGTGCTTCTCATCCTTTTCCTTGCACTGCTTTCCTCTAACAACCAGGCAAGGAAAATCAGAGTCTACATAACTTATTTAAACAGAACTACTTTTACAAAAATACTGATAAATGAGGGTGGAACTCAAATTCCTGAGGGAAAATGAGGTCAAGAATTATCTGCAGATTTTTCCATACTCTTCAACATTCTCTCATTTTATTAAGAATCTGTCTTAGTTTTCAGCCTCAGACCCTCAGAGTGTAACCACTCTCTCTCCTCCCTACCACATAGTTCTGTCCTTTGTGTGTGGCATTTACCTCCTTTTCTGTTACAAAAGGGTGGAAGGGATCAATGGGCAAGAGTGCACACAAAATAGTTACCTTATGTCTTTGTGTCTCTGTTCACATGAATTTGGCCTCCATTTTCACAGCTGTATCTCAGAGGATGCCTCCCATCCCGCAGCATAAGCAGCCCCTTACCCTCAAAGCCTGAAAAATGCCTGCCCCCTTTGCTTTCCTTTTAAAAACAGTATCAGAGAGAAACAGTGCCAGTTCTATAAATTTTTTCAGCTGGCTAGACCAAATGCAAAAGAAGCAGATTCACCCCAAGAGAGGCCACGTGGCCTCTCCCATTTCCAAAGGAACACCTAACCCCCAGTCAATCATCTTACATGTTTGTCAGTCATCAGGAAGAGTATAAATGGATCAGCACATTACCATTTCTAAAAATATGGCTAGCCACACGCAGGTTCAGTAGAATCCTCAGATGTACTTTATGTATTCCCATGTTCGGAGGGAAAAGTCAAATTTGAGACCTTGAGGGATTGAGTCACTTGCACTTTCTAAAGTCAGGGCAACAAGGAGCTCGATTAATTGAACACAGGCTTCCTGAACCTTTCCACTATCTCTCTACCTCTCATTTCAGTATTTCTCAGATTGCAGACTTTTACTTTGTTCTTTTTAGCAATATACATGTGTAGTACATATGCTCATCTTAAAGATCAGTCTAGCTGTAGTGACCAAAAAACATCACCCCCACTGGCCCTGAGTTTCACCAGTTTCAGGTAGATTCTTCAGTACTAAGAATGAATGTTGTAAGAAGTTTAAGACTTTTCCCTTTGGAAAAGAAATGTGGTCTGCGTATTTGAGCCCGGGCTTGGAGGCAAGGCCTTAAGTTTGTCCTGTCATAACTGTTCAATCTGAGGATGTCCAAAAAGCAACTTTCTGTGCAAACCTGGAAGAATAGATTATTCCCAGGTGAGAGGGAAAGATGGAGAATACAGATTAAACTAATTATATTAATAAGCCCTGAAATTAAACACAGCTGTTTGTGAGCGCCTGCTCTGATTTCCCCAATTACAACATTACGGTGTGCTCCTCCAAAACATGCCTTTGATCTGATTATTTCTCATTTCTGTTCCAGGACTTGAACCATGGGAAAGGAAGATGAAAATCCAAGGCTGATGGATGATGCCAGAACGCAGATACTCTATAACTCTCAAGCTTGCATAAAATTCAAAAGTTACAGCATCATACACAAAGGAATGCAGTTTGGCCTTTCTTCCCAAAGGGGCTACTGGCTATTTTTGCTACATAAATTATAATGACCCAACACCCTGATTCCTAGCAATCTTCCTAAAAACAATATCCACTCCTCATATCCTGCCCAATATAATCGCTCAAAGTAGGTCAGAAATGTTTCTTCCTTCCCCTCATTGATTATCATTAAGAGGATGCACTCTCTGGAACACCAAAAGGAAAGAGAAATACCAAATACAAGTACCAACGACACCCCCTATTATTTTTGGCGCACTAAATCCAGTTCCCCTTAAAAGCAGAAGAAAAATCCTATCACCCATATTTATCATTCTTGACTATAAATCAATGATAATCTCAAACTATAAAATATACAGTTGCAATGCTTCAGCCAGGTGATGAACGCCTCCCAAAAGCAGCATATTCATTCTGTCTTTTCTAATTTTCTAGATCACCAACTCGCCTCTTCCCTAAGTACACACACTCTTTTTCTTCCTAATTCATATCCATATTTTGGCAGAAGATGCCAAGTGAACCACACGCTGGCTTAGCGAATCCCCAGGGCCCTCTCAGGCAGCTGAGGGCTGGGCAGGAGGAAGCGGGGATTTGTAGAGACAGGGAAGAGGAGAAAACCGGAGGAGGGACCCTCCTGTGGCAGTCAGTATACGGCTCTCTGGAAAAGCTGTGAAGCGGTGGGTCTCCGAATCCCACTGACGGGGCTCACCACTCTCTCCCCGTGCTGAAATCTCTCCCTGGGCCCCAGGTCCTCAAGCTCGGCACTCCAGAGCGGGCGCCGCAAAGTCCTTCAGAGCCCTCCAAACACAGGAGCGCGAACAGAAAAGCATCACCGCACACCCTCTCTTGGCCAGCTTCTCCGGGCCGGCAACTTCATCCCTGGAAACAAACGTAAGCCCCTGTCCTCCAAGGGAGGCAAAAGGCGACGGCAGAGAGCGATCAACAGGCACCACCCTCGCCTTCATCTTCCGCTGCCCCCGACCCCCCAAGTCCCCGCCAACTCCAGTTAAAGGGCCAGGTGCGGCTCACCTCCCGGCAAGGAGGCAGCGGACGGCCGGAGGAGGGCAGGTCCCCAGCCCAGGCCGCCTGGCAGCCGGCGAGCGCCCAGCAGCAAATCCAGGCGGGGCTCCAGCACGGCGGGAGCCCGCAGCGGGGAGCGCCCGTCGGCCGCCCCCGGCCCCGCCCGCGTGCCAGCCCCGGGCCGAGGAGCAGCATCTCCTTCCCGCTGCGGTCGGCCGGCGGCAGGCAGGCGGCCTCCCCGCGTGGGCGCGCTCCCGCTCCGGGCTGGCAGGGCTGCGCGCTCGGCTGGCCGCGCGCTCGCCCCCGGCCGGTCCGCCCGCTGACAGCTCGGCCGCGCTCCCCTCCCGGGCAGGCGGTGCCGGGGCTCCCGTCACGCCGGAGGGAGGGACGGCGGGCGCGGGCGCGGCGCGGGGGCGGGACGCGGGGGCCGGCGAGCAGGTGGCGCGGGCGGGGGCTGCGGCTCGGCCCTGCCGGCCCCAAAGAGGCAGGGTGGCCGCGTGGCCGCGTGGTCTCTCCTAACCCCGCTGTCCCCGGCCCCCCAGGAGGGGCGCTCCAGGCGTGAAGCCGGAGTAAAATGCAGGACGTTAGGACATTGCTTTCCGGCGGCGGGTCTTTAAAATCTCCCTACTTCCCGCATCACTCACACACACACACACACACACAAACACACACTTGCGCCCTAGGCACACCCCTTTGTCAGGATCCAAGCCTAAAAATCCATGAAATTTTTAGGTGATTAGGGTTTGCATAGAATGGGGAGGAAAGGGGAATGAAATACAGATGCAGTTTGTAACTCCATTGCTCACTTGTTTAATGAAAATAACAATACCTATTCTATGGGGTTGTTATTAGGATTAAGTTGATACATATGAAGCACTTAGAAGGGCACCTGGCAAGCAGTAGATGAGATTTGTGTGGTTAGTAGCAGCTGCCATAAATACTCGTGCCATTGGTGTCATTTCACGGGGATGACATGTGTAACCCTGGGCAAGTAAGCCCTTTTGTTTCTGCAGGAAGCAGTTTTTCCAAATGTACAATTTACTAGGGTGGTCTTCATTTTTTCTTTCTTCAAAATATTCTGAACTGGGTGGTGGGCACCCACTGGTGGACAAGGTGGACATGATGCCTTCATCAGTGTTGGGAATCCCAAGGATCTGGTCTCAAATTAGTCTAAAATTCTGTGAATTGGGTGAGTTATACTGTTTTTCAAAAGGCGCACCCTAATTATTGGTAATTGAGTACTTGAAGAAATCAACCTGGCAGACTCATATAAGTTGACCAGAATTTATGGCTGTGTCTCTAATATCTTTTTAATAAACATTTCCACATGGAATGTGTAACTTTTATTCTTTCTTTCTCGTGTGTGTGTGTGTGTGTGTGTGTTCTGATTATAACAATATTCATGTTTATTGCAAACATTTTGGAAAATACTGGAGAATCCAGAAGAATGTAGAGATCCCACTACCCAGAGATCACACTATTAATGGCGTTAGTATCTTGAAGAATTTCCTTCACGGTCTTTTAGCTGTGTGTATACTGCAAAACTGGAATTATAATCTGTAAACTGCTTTCATTTTTTTCTTAACAGAATATTTTCTCAAGTCATTAAAGTATGACAACACAGCTTTAATAGTCTTATAATATCTACTCTTTGAAGATACATTATATGCTGTTGCGTATTAGGCCTTGTTTCTCAAGTATTTCATATTATAAGTAATTCTAGAATTACTGTTCTTGATACCTAATCTGTGCATGCATCTTTTAATTTTCTATGATGCCTTTCTAGAATTGAAATCATTGGATCACATGCTATGTGTATCTTTAAAGTTTTTGAATAGTGTACAAGTTCCTTCCAAAAATTTTACATCAATTGTTTGAAGCAGTTTATGAGTATGACACACCATTCCAGACTGTAATAGATTAAATGACATTTTAGTACGAGAAAAATGTATTAAATATTTACCATTTTAATACACAAGAAAAATACTATCCGAACAGTATTTTTAAATGCATTTTTATAATTGGTGACAGTAATTTTTCATATATAATTACTATTTACACATTTCCTTCTTCTGTGTGTGAATTTTCCACTGGCATTCAAGCTAGTTTTCTATTGAAGTTCCATCTTTTTTATTGATTTGTAAGCACACGTTATAAGTCTTGAGTATATTGCATGTTTGTTTACTATATATGTCACAAATACTTTTCTCAGTTTGCACCAAAGGTTTTGGGTGGCCTTTTTTGCAGAAGACTGTCACTTTAATGTACTTTAGCATAGCAAATTCTTCTTCTGTGATATCTTCCTTTGTTTTATACTTAGAGACACCAGTATACCTCTGCAAGATCATGTAGATACCTGTATTTTCTTATTTTGTTATTATTTTTATCTTTATAGATATTCTTATTCTTTAGTCCATCTAGAATTTATGAATCAACTTGTATTTATATTTATATTATCTGAGCATGTTGACAATTTGTTGTAAAAATCAAAGGTCATCCCAGTCAATGTACCTGGGTCAAATAACAAATACAGATTTTCTCAAGTGGGACAATTTGCCACTATCAATAAATAATTTTCTCATAGGAGTCTTACCTATAGAAAAGATGTTGACCTTAGATAATTAAAACCAGCATACAGGCTGACAGAGAAAGGAGAAGTCCAAGAAAACTCTACGGTTCTTTTGTACCTGCTATTTTAGAATCTAACAGCAGATTATTCAAATTACTTATGATTATCCAATCAGTAACTTTACTCTTAAAAGTCACTTTAATAAAAAATAATAGAAAATTGCTAATGGAACTTGGGGGTGGGACTGGACATTCAGTTATGAAGGTTTAAATAGCTTAAAGTCACCAGATGGTCATCAATTTTCTACTTTATTTTATGCAGTGTGTACCTGAAAATTGAGCCAAACTTTTTTCATCAACAAAAGCCATAGCTATATTCAAGTGATGCTAAACAGTTTTTTTCTTTTTTAACTTAAAGCAGGTTGTAGTACAATAACCAATATTTTTAAAGCTGTCTTTTTAAAATAAAATCTGAATGAATTAAAGTAGTAAATGTTTTAAAAATCTATTTTAAACAGTCAAAATGAAAAGTTAATGGCAAGTATTTTCTGTATCTAATTAGCAAAGAAATAATAGTTTGGCGAATATATGTCATAGATTATACACCCAGGAGAATATGTATTTCTGAAGAGCAACTTGACATGTATTCCATGCCTTTAATATGTTTATGCCTTAGTCCAGTAATTTTTACTTCCAGCACTCTAATTTCAGATACTGATAAGTAAGGAGCACAAATTCTGTTCAAGAATACTTACTACTGTCTAATACAATCAAAATTAAATAACCTAAGTGCCCCAAATAGGAGAATGGTTCAATGAATCATGCTACTTCACTTGTTAGGATTATATAGATACTGAAAATTATGTTTTGCAAAAAAAATGGAAACAAACCTTAATAAACAGTATATTCCCAAGTACAGAGTATGTGGAAAGGAGGAGTGTGTTTTATGGGAAGGCAGTGACTAGAAGGAAATTTGTTGGCAGTGATAATCTTTTAATAGTGGCATACAGGTGTTTCTCATTTCCATTTTTACAAACATATTTTCCATTTTTCCATAATTATTATATATTATTTTTTATTATATATTACTTTTATAATCATTATGAATTACTGTAAATGTTTGTGTTCTTTGATGCTTATCTATCCATCTCAAGAAATCATCAAAGATGAAAACAAAAATGTTCACTAGTGTCATTTCTAAAATAAGTAAATGAAACTTAAGTATCTAATACTAGGAAAACAGTTAAGTAAACAATGATATTCAATAGTTTGTTATTCCAACACAAAGAATTCTTTTACTTGAAAGTGTCTGACAGAGGGAGAAGCTTTTATGAAAAATGCTTTGGTTAAATGGGAAAAATCATCATAGAAAATTTAGACACAATAGACACATTCAGTATAGTAAAAGTATAAAAAGTAAATGTATAAAATATGGACAGAAAGATATGAACCAATTTCAGGATAATGACTGCCTAGGGAAGAAGAAGGGGGATGGGATTGGCAAGGCATGTAAAATGGACTTCATTTGCATTTCATACTTTATTTCTGAAAAGAAAGAAGAATGAAAGGGAAGGAGGGAGGGAGGAAAGAAGTATCTCAAGGAAATATGACAAAATGTAACACTGTTTTATTGTCAGTGTTGGAGGCAATTATTATAATAGTTAACACTGAGCATTGAATAAATAGGTACCAGCACTGCTCATTTAACCCTACATGGTAGTTACTCATGATGCCCATTTTACAGATGAGGAAATAAAGGTACAAGTTGCTCAGCAAGATGCAGTGTGGGGTTTCAAACACCAGCAGTCCAATTCTAGGGCTCCCCAACTAAGGAGGTTAGTTTTATAACCCTCTCAATTTTTCCATATTTTTGAAATATTTAAAACTTGAAATCATTTCACAGAATATGATCTTTTGTTTTTAAAAATCCATATTCAAAAGACTGAAAGGATAGACCAAGTGATTAAAAATGGTGTTTTCTGGATAATATGATGAGGGTGATTTTTTTCTATTTTTTTATACTTTTCCACATTTCCAATCTTTTTACAGAAAAGATATATTAGTTCAAGTTTTGAAACAAGAAAGCTGGGGTATAGTAAAAAGGAGAGTGATACCTAAACTATTCTTCCAGCTTATTCTACATTTTACACATGAATTTGGTCACCATATTTTAAATAACTCTTAGGGGAAGAAGAATAGGCAAGTGGTGGGGAGGGTAAAAGGAGAGGATTCTAAAAGGAATGAAAAAAATGATTCAAAAGATAGAGAATATGTCATATGAGGAAAAGCTAAATCAAGGTATCTTGACTTCGTCTCTAATCCAGAAAGCTTTTCCTTCACTAGTAGGATATAGCTCCTTTGCTCTCCATTTCCTTCAAGGAGCAAAACAAAACTATTTTTAGTAAAAGGAGAACATTTTTTCACTTGGACATAGAGGTGAGCCTACTATGAGAGGTTGTGGAAATATTTAAGAAGAGTGTCAGACAAACTGTGCGTTAAATTGAAACTCCATGACTTACTGGCTATGTGATCTTGGGAACTTACCTACTCTCCTTTGACTTCAGTTCCTTCATTGGTAAATGAGAGTTTAAAGTACCTGACCTTGTAAGGTCGATGTGCAATGGTTTAATATACATAATGAGTTAATGTACTTAAGACATCACCATGCTTATAAATGTTTTCTTCTTGTTATTTATACCAGTATTTCTCCACTTACGTTCAAAAACCCCATGGGGCAGAGGGACACCTCCAATGTATTCTTAAGAGATTAGTAGAGTTTTCTCTGAGAATTTTTGTTTTTTGTATTTGCATTATTGATAATTAGAAAAAAATACAAATGCATATACATGTATCTACATACACATACACACACATTTTTTTAAATTACTTGGTATATCAATCTTTAGCATAAGCTGTACCTTTGTTTGCACTTGACTTTATGATCTCAGAGACACCCCACTCCCTGCATGCCAGCTGTACTGACCTCCTTGCTGTTCCTTCAACCTACCAGATGTACTTCTACCTCAGGGATTTTGTATTTGTTGTTCCGTCTGCCCAGAATGCTCCTCCTTCTTCAGGTCTTTCCTCAAATGTCCTTTTCCCTGTAAGGACCTTCCTGGCTACCCTTTCTAAAATCCCTGACACTCCTATCTCCCTCCAAGCTCTGCTTTTCTTCCCAGCACTATCCTCACCTTGCATGTTGCCTGTTTTACTTGCTGTCTGCTTGTCAGCAAGGAAGCTCATTGAAAAAGGCTTCCTTTATATGGAAGCTCCATGAAAACCCAAGGTTTTGATTTTGCTTTTTTACTGTATTTCCAGAGCTAATGCAAAGGCACTCAACAAATATGAGTTGTATGAATAAATGCATTATGTGGTTACCACAAATGAGAGCAATTAGTTTGTTATTGTCAATATGAAATATTTCAGACACATAGCAACTAACTGAATTGTTTCTAAAATTTCTCCAAAGTTGAAGTTGAGGGGAAATGTCCAAATTCTCAATTTGAAAAACAAAGGAGTAGTTACAGATAATAGCATCCACTTTATCCAGATAAAGGAAAAAGGACTTTATTGCATGGTATTGGGAGCTTTACAGAATTTCTGGGAGGGCCAGTGAACACAGTCTGAATCTATGCAGCCTGGTGAAACAGAGCTAGGAGTGATAGCCTGCCACCCTACAAGATTACTGTAGTGGAAACTCCACTGAAACCTTCACATTATTACTCAGCACACAATGCTGAGGACTAAACACTCAAACTTCTGTGCCTAGTAGAGCAGAAGAACCAAATGCTCTTTGCCAGGTCACCAGAAGATTTAATTTACACTCATACAGCTACCACCTCATGTTGACCACTTATCCTTCCAAGTTTCATGTGAATACATTTTTTTGGCAAAACCTAGTTTCAGTGTGGAATCTGGTTACATGGGAATGTTTTAAAAAGCTAGCTGTCTCACCTCTTTGATTTAGGAAGTTGTGCTAAAATTGGGACAGATTGGGTATAAGTGGGTAAAACTGCAATTTTGGCAGAAGTCTACCTTCAGCTACTGAACATCCATAAATGCTCTTATTCTTGCATTAAACTTCCACCTATGGGTGATGTCCATTTGTCTTCTAGCCACAGTGGCAATCTCATCTTGATATACTGATATTTATCAGACAAATTATAAAGTTAGCTACCACCAATCTACCACATATTAAAAACTAGAGGATTATTATTCAGCAATAAAAAGGAATGAACTATTGACACACATCATAACTTGGATGAATCTCATAGGCATTATGCTAAGGGAAAGCAGCCAGTCTCAAAAGTGGCTGTGTATGTGACATACTGTATGGCTCCATTTATATGACATTCTCAAAAAGACAAAACTATCATGATAGAAATAAAATCAGAGGGCTGTCAACAGTTAGGGGTGATGGTACAGAGAAGTGTTATTACAAAAGGATAACACTAAGGAGGTTTTGAAATTGTTTTTTATCTTGATTGGGATGGTGGTCACACAAGTCTACATATGCATTAAAAAACATAAAACCCTACACAAAAAAGTCCGTGTTACTGTACATTAATTTAAAAATTAAATTTTTATAAAAGTAGTGTAATCCAATGAATATAACATTATCAGCTACTAAAGTAGACAATATAGGTTTTGTAAACATAAAATATTTATTAATTTTTTTAAAACTAGGGAAACAAGAAGAAAAACAATATATTATAATATATACAGAAGAACAAGGAAGAAAACATGAGCAGAAACAACAATTTTCCTTTCTGCAAGTGCTCCTGAGATCCCGTTGGCATCGGAACTTCCTCCAGGTTCCCTTTGTGCTCAGGCAATGCTTCCTGAGAGCTCTAAGCCCTGGCAGTCCCAACTGTATGTGGGGTTGCTATAGTCTCCCATTAATTTTACCACTGGATATTACAATACTAGGAGGCACTCTAGAAGAATCCCTGAGGTCCACCATAGAAAATTATAGGAAACCATCATCACAATAAACTTTTCTTTTTTTTCATTTTCCTCTTGGTCCATTGGCAGGAGGAGCCCAAAAGTCCAATGGCAGTCTCAACACCTCAACTCCGTTCAATTCTCTCCCCTTGTGTAATATTTCTCCATTGAATACTAAGACATTCAAGCCAGCAGAGTCTAAAATAACGAACCTGGGAAGGAAAATTTTGAGTTTTGGTCACTCAGTGTAATAATGAGACATACCATACCCATTTCACTCCTTGGTTTCTGGACCATGTGTCCTGGCTCTGGGAGAAACAGAATCACATGTTAGTCACTAGTTCAAAGAAAATATTTTATCCTGAAGGACAGCACCCTAATGTCAAAAGGTGTTTCCCAGCTGACACAGTAAATCGGTTCCTTAGGTCACTCTGCTATGCCATAAACCAAGTGCTTCTGCGTGAAAGGTTTGAACCTCAAGAACCAGTGACCCCAAGAGCACTGGCCTTAATTATTTTGACTTGAAATGAGTTTCTTGATGAAAAGCAATATTGTGTGAGAAAACATGATGGTGTACGGCACAATGTAAATGAAGTCAGCAGGAGCAGCATGGTGGCTCAGGAAAACAAACCGTACCCAGAGTAAGTACTTATTTCAGTGAGGACAAACTACCGTTTACTTCCTAATGGAAGGGACCCAATAAACAACCAACAGTAGGCTGTTCTCCTCATTCTATCATCCAATATTGAGAGTTCATTATTCCTCTGTGCTGCTGGCAGATTGGGCATTCAGCCACAGTAGCACAGCCAGCTCAGCCTGGGGGAGAGAAAATCTATTTTTTATTAAGGGATGTGCAATCTTCATTGCTACTATGCTAGATCATTTTTTTTAGCATTTTTGATATAGTAAAGTCACTGGGTAAAGAAAATGACATCAACAGAGTGAGTCATCTGGTTCAC